AAGAGAGGGGCCAATGCCCAAGGAGAGCAAGCCGGCTCAGGTGGAGGCCGAGGCCTGGGGCAGCCAGTGCATAGTGGGACAGAGATGGAGCAGCAGCTTTATGCATAAGGGTGGTCCTCAAAGCCTTATGACTGATAAAATTAATTTGAAGATCTATGAAGAGGGGCCAATGCCCAAGGAGAGCAAGCCGGCTCAGGTGGAGGCCGAGGCCTGGGGCAGCCAGTGCATAGTGGGACAGAGATGGAGCAGCAGCTTTATGCATAAGGGTGGTCCTCAAAGCCTTATGACTGTGATAAAATTAGAAAACTCCTAAGTACCTAAAAATGTAAAATTGTTATGCAGCCATGAAATGTTTACAAAGAGGTTTAACATGGAACTATAATAATGCTATAGCTCTAAAGGTTAAGTAAGGCCTGCAATTAGGGAAAAAGCACAACCAAGTAAAATGAAAGACCAGAAAAGATGGAGGAAATAATTCAAAAGGTTATCAGCAATTATTATTCTCTAATGATAGGCCCATGGATCCTTATTTGTGTAGAACTATATATTTTTCAAATTTTTCTACAATGCACATAAACTACTTTCAAATTTAAAAGATAATTTAATTATTGAATTCAATACCGAATTTAATAGTAAAGCCCCCTCTGTGGCTCTAAGCCTAGCCTCCAGGTTCTTCTGGGATAGAGAGGCCAGGCCTACCTCCTATGCCCCATGTATCCAGGTTATAGGAGTCCTTCTAGACTAAGAGTAACTGGCTCCTGACTTTCCCAAGTGTGGAAATCCTACTGTCTCTTTGGGCTCTTCTTTGCATTCTGTTAATTCTACATGTTTTATCATAATCTTGGGATCACTCATTCTTTTCCTAAATATTTTTGGAAAGTATATATTAAGCCTTATTTCTAGGTTCCAGGGAGGACTTCAGCCTCTTGTGGGGCCTGGGTTGATCTATCTCTGTATCTCCAGAATCAACAGTATCGTACTTAACAGTCTTCACAGTCTTAAACAGTACTCAGCAAATATCGTAAAATAAATATATAAAGGAATACTACAGTTTAGCATGGATGAAAGGCAAAATAAAAACAAAAACTTTACTCATTGGGTGTATTATTTACATGTGCTCTTCTTGGGTCAAGAATGCTCTATCCTGATTACTCATTCTTAAGATCTCAGGGATTCTCCTTGTTACTTTTCCCAGGCCCAATGCCTACACTTTCCCATCATTACACCCCCATCTTCTCTAAAAAACAGAGACTATGTCTGTCTTCTTTACCACTGTATCCCCAGTGCTTGAAACATCGTGGGAATCAACAAATATTTGTTGAATACATGAATACGGGAGGAAAAAAAGAGATGAAACAGAATTGTAAGGAATTTAAAGCCCTCCTATCAGAATAAGCTACATCGAACAGAAAAAGGTAAAAGGTATTCATGCCAAGAGTAATCTAATTGATAATGACAGATGAACAGATTTATAACATGCATTAAATAGAAATAAAGAAAAATGACCTTTTAATATATACAAAAAAAATAATAATTGTAGGCCACAGATAAGGTCTTAACACATTTTAAAAGCAGAAACTATATACGGTTGATCTTTGAGCAATGTGAGGGTTAAGGCCACCAAACCCCACACAGCCAAAATCCATGTATAATGTTTCACTCCTTCAAAAGTTAACTACTAATAGCCTACTGTTGACTGGAAGCCTTACCAATAACAGTCGATTAACACATTTTTTTGTTATATGTATTATATACTGTATTCTTAATAAAGTAAGCTAGAGAAAAGAAAATGTTTAGAAAACCAAAGGTTTGTGAATTTTTTCAAATTGTCACAAATCTCCCCCAAATTTTCCAATATATTTATTGAAAAAAATCTACATATAAGTGGACCTGTGCAGTTCAAACCCATGTTTTTCAAGGGTCAACTGTAACTCACATTTGCTGATATAATGCAACGAAAATAGGAATTGACAATATACCTATACCTCTAAAAAACTTGACTACTTAGAAATTTAAAAATAAATTCGTATTTTTCCTGACCCATTTTTTACTTAAAATAAAAATATAACATATTGTAGCAATGTTAAAATTACACGTTCATAATGTTTGGGACATGATCAGAGAAGCACTCATAGGTATTTAATTGCTTAAAATCCTTTCACTATTATATTAAGAAAGAAAGCTTTAAGCCTCTGGTTGCTTGAAGAAAAAAAAAGAACTCTAAATAATAAATAAAAAAACAAACAAACAGGAAATAAAAGTAGAAATAGACAAACTGGAAAAATGAGAGAAGCCAAACAAAAATCAAGACAGAAAAGGTTTTTTAAAAGACTATCAAAATTAATGTGGTTTTTATAAAAGTGCAAAGTAACCCTAAAAGGCATCTGAGAAGTTTTCAAAGAATCACTTAACCCTGGGGGGTCAATAAATTTTTCACACTTTCAGAGGCCAGTCTCCGTGTTCTGGCTGTCATTTCTCCTGGGAGAAAACATGGCCACCCTACTTTGATTTTGGGGCATGTATGGCTTCTCCAGCTGGTTATTAACAGCTGGGAAGGCCTCCATAAGCGGGTATCTAGGAGGAGGGGTTCCAGGGTGCTCCATGCTCTCTGCTTCCCTCTGCAGGTGAAAACGGAAAGGGCGGCCTGGGAGAATGGTGGTGAGACAGCAGGAGGAAACGACTCCCCCTGGTGGTTGAGAACAGCGTAGCTGCCGCCGCGCAGGAAAAAAGGAGCAAAAGCACCCGGCCCCAGGTCCACTGAGAAGGGAGGAAGGGTAGGGAGTGGGTGCCCTAAATTATCGGGTCTTGCGCGGCCGTGACTGCACTTGGTCTCTTGAGGATGGTAAAGGGTCTCTGCTCCCAACCCAAAGCCAACAATGCAACGTAGGAACATCCTTTTTACTCTTGCCTTCGCACATCTACTTGAAGCATTTATGGAGCACATGTGCCAGCCACTTAAGTATCCTATCAGACACTTGGGCCATTCAGACAAAAAGTCACAGCCATGAAGGACCGTGGAAGATCTGGTGGGACCATCCTAGCACCTAGCACAGTGCCTGATACATGGCAGGCTAGATGAAGAAATGAGGTCCACTCCAGAATGCTTAGTTGCAGGGGAAAGGTGTCTATGGCTTGGGTTGAGTCTCTGCCAAGGAGTCTGGGAAGGCAAGTATGCACATTCCCATGCCAGAGCCTGGTGTACCTGGCCTCTGTAAGCTACACTCTCCTGACAAGACATCTGGTGAGGCATGTTTCAGGTGGGTGGTGCTTTTGGGTTACAGAGAAGGAAGCAGATAGGATATGGGGGCTGACATTTGGGGTTCCAACAGGACATTGCCACTAACCTGAGTCTTCCGTTTCTGAGAAAGCTTGCGTTTCTGGGTATTATTGGTTTCTGTGAGGAAGGGGTCATCTGTGATCACTCCTAAAGACTGCAGGTGTGTTCTGCAGAGAGAAGGGAAAGAAACTGGTGGGTGACAGAGCCTTGCATGGGGAGAGCACTTTCACCCTTCCCAGATCCACAAGACATTACCTCCTCCAACCTCAAAGCCAGGCTCTAGGGGCTTCTAAATGCTGCCTCTAGATTCCCAGAGATGCTGCCAACGATCTCCTGGCCCTGGGCCCAAATCATTTTCCTACATTCCCAGAAACCTTCTCATCACCAGAGTCTCGCCAACTCCTGAAGGGCAGGATATCCTCATCATGAACCCAGAGAACCCCGTGGGCCTACATTTCTATTCAGTGTTCAGCTGTGGCTAAGATGAGAGTTTCATGTACATGACTGGCACACTTTTGGGGTGTAATACCAAATACAAAAATAGCCTGTAAACTGCAAGAAGCTGCACAGATGTTAATTATGACAGCTCAATGGGAGAAAAGTGGACCCTCAGGAGGTCTTTAACTCCTAGGCCTCTTGGGAGAGCCATCCTTGCTCAAGGTAGGAAGGCTTTTGGGGATCAACAGGGAGAGCTGCATGTGGGTAGGCAGATCCAGGTGGAAAAAAAGGAAGAAGTAATTCCAGCAATCCATGGTGGGGGGTGGGGTTTATGCTGCCAGATAGACTTGTGTCTTTATTGCCCTTATTAGCTGGTGACCTTAGGCATGCTGTATAACCTCTGAACCTGTCTCTTTGTCTATAAAAGTGACTAGGACTACTCAAACTCCAGGGGAGTTGAGAGCAGTAACATGAACTCAGTTGGGAAATCCTGCCTTGCAGAGTTTCCCTATTCCATAGAGCAGTGACACCCCAAACACCAGTCCTCTGTTGTCTCTAAACAGAACAAGTGTGAACAAACCATGTCGAATAAGCACCCAGTGTGGAAAAGGAAGGGTTTTTGCCCAGATATTCATGGGTTTGAGACAGAAAACAGCAGGTTAAACTCTCTGCTCACTGTGGAGGTTGATAACTCTCTGTCAAGACCAATGAATTTTCCAAATTCTGTTCTTGCTCCTGTTAAAGCTACCAAATAAGGCAAAGCAAGCAAGAAAACTATGGGGAACTCTACAAATCCTGAGAAGTTGCCAAGTGGAAAAGCTCAGAAGGTAACAGATGTTAATTCTGAATGTCAAGGGAGACAATAGTCAAAAAACAGACTGGCGAATAATAATAATTCTAAAAACATTCAGTAGAGATTACAGACTTATCTAAGGAGAAACCTGCCCCAGGGCAATGCACAACTCTAAGTTTCCTTTTAGGGAGTCTTCCTGATATATCTACAGTGCTAAGGTCTGGCTTATCCTTCACTATCCTGACCCTGCTCTAAGGGGAGCTGGAGGAGGACATCCCACATTGTGCCTCTAAGGCAAGCAGTGAAGCTGGCCCAATGTATATCATTAAATACTGGTGAATGAAGAATATGGACAAGAATGAATGACATCTTATACTGCCATCCAAGTCAGCCTCAGTAATTACATTGTGCTTTCGTCTTAAAATGGATGTGGGATCAAATATGTGGTGACAGAAAGAAATCTAACTATGGGAGGTGAACACACAGTGTAAATATATATATGCTTTATTGTTAAAGTGCACAGCTGAAACTTATTGGAGTTCGTTAACCAATGTCACCATAAAAAATAAATTAAAAAAAAATAAAATGGATGCGGATTCTCCTTCTGAGTCTGTTTCATGTCCTTTTCAAACATGGCTGCAATTTCCTCAATTATTCCTGTGCCGAGTAACGACATTCTCTCAAGCCTGCTGTCTGGTTCTTGTAGATTCATTTTAGCTCAGGATCAAATAATCAAATTGGCATTTAATTTTCTGTCTTCTGTAGGCTTTCTCTGTCAAGGCAGCAGAACTTGAAGGATTAGAGTTGAGGTGAGATCAGGTTTTTTGCTTTGAGAATGAGCAGAAGGGAGAAACTATATTCTTTCAACACTTACTGAATGCCTATTATATGCGAGAGCTATGATGACAGCATCACATACTCTACCTAAATGTTCCTAACAATGTTTGTGATGTGGGCTATATCATCTCCATGTTTAAGCTATGGAAGCAGAAGCCTGGAGCTTTAAAAGCCTTCTTTGAGGTCCCAAAGCTAGAAAAGTATCCAAAATTTTTGTTTTAACCCTTATACTTTTTGGTTTTCCTGGCTTGTTATCATATTTTGCAGTGCCCATAGGCGACACCTCTGAATACAGGCAAGAGCTACCCTGAAGTTGTGAGATGTGCCTGGTCTGTATAGAGTCAGCCAGCAATTTGACAAGCATCTTTGTTATAAGTCAGTGGGTGAAGAGGCAATTTATCTAAGAGTTCAGGTTCAGGAGTCTCACACGGCTGAATTCAAATCCTAGTCCCACCACATGTGTAAAACACATGATCTCTTTAGGCTTCTATTTCTTCATTTGTAAAATGGTAATATTACTACCTCATAGAGTTGTTGTGAGGGTTAAGTGTGGTGTATAAAACACTTGTCACGTAATAAACGCTCCATACAAACAAGCTGGCTGTTACTAATGATGAAGTGTGCCCGTCCTTTTGCTAACACGTAACGTCCTCACTGGGCTGACAAGTCGTCCGAGATTCTGTTTCTACACAACTGATATTGTGGGGCTGGAGCCCCAGACCAACGTACAGAGGAGGGAGGTGCAGAGGTCCCAGATCAGGTACCATTTCTTTTTCTGGTAGTACTCAAGCCCTCCTCTCCGCCCTCAGCCCGGCCCACGCCTACCTCGACGTGGTCGTGAAGTTGGAGCACCGCGGCTTAGGGCAGGCCATGACTCTCCAGCAGCCGGGCAGCCAGCACCAGCCGCCTAGGAAGCTGTGGTAGTGTACAGCCCGTCGCCATGGCGACCAGGCCCCAGCAGCCCAGCGGTGGGGGCGGGGTCAGGGTTTGCCACGCCCCCAAGCCCCGCGCTCGGGGGCTAGGAGGAAGGCCAAGTAGCAAAAGTGCACTCAAGCCTGGGAGCGGGGTCCCCTCAGAATCAATCACTACAGCGGATTTGACTCTAGCTACCAGAACCGAGGCTGGGGGATAAACAGAGACTATGGGGGAGGGAGGTGAACCGAGACGCTAGAGCCGCGTTGCCCGCGGGAATTGTAGTTTTTAGTGTCCCAAAGTCTCGGCCAAAGAAGCTTATGGCTGAGCAGGTTTGTACTACAACTCCCAAAGTTCCTTGCTAGCCTGAGTTGGGCCGCCTCTGGAATGCTGGGCATTGTGGGATGTGGAGTTCAAAATGTGGCAAGGAGTGGCGGTGTCCAAAAAAAGATACGGGACTAGGACTCGGTTTCCCTGCGGCCCCGGTAGGCTCGCGGGCCATTGGCTGCGCGGGGCGGATCTGGTCCCTCACCTCCCCGCCCCCAGTGACACAATAGCAGCTCCCTCCAAGATGGCGGCGGCGACGGTGGACCCGGGAGCTGGGAGCCCGCAGGCTGGAGACTCCTCCGGCGGGGGCGCTGGGGGCGCGATGCCGTCCCCGGGAGAGCAGGAGCTGAGCCGACGCCTGCAGCGCCTGTACCCCGCGGTCAACCAGCACGAGACGCCGCTGCCGCGTTCCTGGAGCCCCAAGGACAAGTATAACTACATCGGCCTCTCCCAGGGCAACCTCCGCGTCCACTACAAAGGTATTGGTCTGTTTGGCCGTGGTGGGAAAAGGCCAGAGTGTCTACAGGCTAGCTGTGCTGCCCAGCCCCTACCCCATTACGTCTCTTCCCCGGCCCTGCTGCACCGAGTTAGGCCTTAGCCCCTGCGAGTGTCCAGGATGGTGGGGCTGACCAGGCCGAGGGTCGACTGGCTAGACTGCTCGTCCCTGAGACACCTGATGCCAAGAGAACGGCACAGGTGTCCAGACTCAGTGCTGGGTTGGACCTTCCACCCCAGAGCCTTTCTGCTTGTCCTGGGATAGCTCCAACTCCAGCTGGGCCCTTCTTCACTTCTGCTTAGTTTCAGCAGTGTCTGCAGAAAGGGGTGGTCACATTTTCTCCATTAGCCAGAGACCCATGGTTTTGCTCACCTACCAGACTCCCAGAGTGAGCCTGGGGTTTTGTGCTAAAGTGGGGTAGTGTCTTCCAGGGCTGCCTCCTCCTCCCCTCATCTCCCAGGTGGACTGCCTGTCTTCTGGAGACACTAGATTGCCAGCAGCACTGGAGAAACTCTCACATCCACCCACGTTGCCTATCCCCTCATTTGGTTTGTATGGGAAACAGTCTCAGGCAGGGTTGCTATTCTCAGGAGGTGAGCCAAAGGTGGGAGTTTTAAGTGTTTACTCAGTTGTCTGATATTTCTTAGACTATGTAAGGGCTTTCTCTGGCCTATGAAGTTGCAATGGAGCGGAGAAGAATAAGGCCTCCATTTGCATTTCCTTGTGCTGAAATTTCTTCCTTGCCCTTTCCAATTAGGTCATGGCAAAAATCACAAAGATGCAGCCTCAGTTCGTGCCACCCACCCTATACCTGCTGCTTGTGGCATTTATTACTTTGAGGTGAAGATTGTCAGCAAAGGAAGAGATGGGTAAGCCCCTCCTTACCACCTTCTTTCCCCCAACATTGAGCTATTACCTGTGGTCAGAGTTCAAGGTCTCCTACTGACACTTGTGATTGTTGTGAGCTGCTGAGCTGCATGGGTGTGGGGTGCAGAGGATTGAATAGTGGGCTGCCTGTTAACTTGGCTGTGGGCATGGCCTGGACTAAGCAGCAGCCCTTGGTGACAAGTAGGTGCATTGTGGGTAGAGAGGGGACTTCTTTTTAGCAATATTGTAATGAGATACCTCACAAGTCAGGAAAACAAGTAACAAGTTTACATTAACAATACAGCGTCCAGAATGGGGTCCCCCCGCCACTGACGTGTGTGTTTGTGACTTCCCTGCTTTCATACTCTTGCTGCATTCAAGGTTCCTTTTTATGGCATTTAGTCATACAGAGGCCCCAGTAGCCTTCAAAGGGATAGTAGAATCTTCACAACATTCATCAAAGCTGTGGCAGCCACTGGCTTGTCATCTCGGAGTAAACAGCGTGCACATGGTCAGAATCAGGTGATCTTGCTGTTCATAAACTTGTTTTTCAGTCCAAGGACTCAAACACCAGTTGGACAGCTTAAGGAAGGCCCTCATTAAAGTCACTATTAGGGAGACTCTCTATTTTAGGGTGATCTAAGCAGACACAGGAAATCAGGGGAGATTTTTTCTTTTTCTTTTTCTTCTTCCCCCAGTCTTCCTTTTTTCTAGTGATTGTGACAAAGCAGGTGTTTAAGTTATGAAATAACATGATTGCAGCTGTCTTGGAAAGGCTTTCTTCATCAGACCTTAGATCTGGTGCCCAGTGACCTTCATGCCAACCCTGAGTATGTGTTCTTGAACATTCAGAATATTCCCTCTCTCCTGCTGTGGTGCATACCCTGCCCAGACGCTATACGGGGGGCAGGACTGCCAGAGTCACAGCTTTGCCTTCTTCATCAGTGACAGTGTAACATCTCTGTCTAGAAGAGTTATGTGATCATGGGTAGACTGTGGAGCTTCAGTCTCCTCATCTGCACTGTGGGGAGCTAAGCTGCTTTTAACTCTAGAATTCTGTGATTTTGAAATTCTCATCATGGCAAGCTATTGCATGTTTCACTTTTATTGCCATCTAGTGCATTTAAAGATAGGATACTTATATTATTGGAAGGCTTTAAAGCTTCTATTTTCCCTTTTCATCCTCTGATAAGAGCACATGTTTAATATGTTTAAAGTAGTGTGAATGAGAATGGCCTCGTAGAACAAACAAAACAAACATTGCAAAACAGTTATAGTATAGATTGAAATGTTGGTGCTGAAGTCTCATATTGCCAAAGAAACTAAGGGGTGTTTCTTAAACTTGTAGGTAGGAAAATGGATTGTTTTCTCTATAGTCTTTATCCTAGAAAATAGCTGAGCTAGTGAGAGAAGAGAACAAAATTTTGGAAGGGTGTGTTTAAATGTAGAGACCCAGATCCCTTCATCTGGCTTTTAACATTTCAGTTGTGAGTGGATCTTGTTGGAAGGCCCTGTGTCTTGTTAGATTGCCTTATTGTAGGTGTTGCCTACAAATCTAAAGAAAGTTGGGCATCTTCTCTCCTTCTGTTCCCAGCAGTTTTACATGTGGTAAATATAACCATTAAGCTGACCTGGAAACCTCAGTTTTAAAAAGGTCTCAGGTCATGTGTATCTTGGTGGCCTGCTTCAATTGACCACTGTCAGATGGCAAGTTTATAAATATCCCTTCATGGCCTCTTTAAGGAATCCCTGAAAGCCTTCTTATGGCTCTGGTGTAGCCAGATGTTGGTATGGGCCACATGTGGTTTTGAAGAGACCAGGGGCAGTTACAGGGCAGACAGTGATCAGCTTGTTTCCTGTTGATGCTGGAGGTGTGTTTCTGACCAGGGTTTGGTTCACGTGTTAGTTGGATATATAGCTTTTCTGTATCATCTAGTTGATCTTCAGCATCTCTGGAAAGTGGCTGGAGCAGATGATGGTGTACCTATTTTGTGGGTGAGCCCTGATCCCCTGTGATGTTTGGCGACCTGCCTTGGATGCAGGGCTTGGGATGTGCAGTGGAGTGGCCTAATTTGTCAGATATCTTCTCCTGATACCAGACATGTGTGCCCATGCTGCTGTTGCCTTATTGCATTCCCTCCCTGGGTACAGAGATAGAATGTCCAATTGCATTCTCACAGGACAGTGTGTTCTCACAGGACAGAGCTGAAAGTTGCTTAGTGCTGAGTGGGACCAGAGAAGAGTGGTGTGCTCTAATCTGAGCTTTATTGACTTACCATCTCAATGAATCTGTAAACTTGTTTTTCTATAGATTTGAGTATGGGCCTCCTTTGTAAAAGGTGTTTATGAACCCAGTTGTCAGTGTCATTGTTTTTCAGAAAGGCCTTTGTTCTGATGATGTCTTTTGTAGAAAAGCACACTAAGCTCATCTAATTAGGAAGGTTTCATTTCAAGGGTTCATAGAGTATTTATTCATACCTACTATGTGCAAGGCCCATGCTAGGTGCAGGGAGAACAAAGGTAGAGGCAAACACAGGCCATGGAGCCTGTGCCCTACTCAGTAGAGAGTGGGCTGAAAGGCTGTCTATAAGAGAAGGGAGAGCCTGGGCATGGTGAGTGATGAGTAGGAGTTTCCCAGCAGGTGAGACCTGTTGTACCTAAAATGAGGCTGGTCAGTAACTAGCTTGTTTTCAGGCTGCTGTGCTTCCTGGGCACTCCCCAAATATAAGAGAGAGCTGGAGAAGGAGGGACTGTGTTTAAGCTAAGAACTTGGCACAAACTGATGGGATTCAGCTTCATTTTGCCAAGTCACCAGAGCTGGGAACCCCAGGAGCAGGCTGGTGAGGCGAGGAGACATCAGAGCCCTGTCAGTGGTGCCAGGAGATAAGGGCATTTGGGTTGATCTTGTTAGGAAGCCAAGGAGGCCCTGAAGCTGAAGGTCCTTGGGAGAAATGACTTGCTTATTCAGAGTTCATGGACCTATGGGTGGCCCCAGGAGTTAGTGATGACACATGGAGGGTGTGGCTGGCCAGGCTGACAGATGCTCCAGTGTGACCCTCAAAATAGACTGTAACATCATCCCAGCAGCGGCGGCCTCCTGACATGTGATGGGTGGCTCTACCCAAGAACAGCAAGCCTGAGCTAGAGCACTAGATGGAGTTGGGAGAGCTCTTCTCTGCAGCTGATTTCCTTTGGCTAGGCAGCAGTGTCCTCATCCGTTAATTCTTCGTACCACAACGAGGCACCCGTTGTTTTGTCTCAGTCCCAGGCCTGAGCCCCAGGAACACAGGCATGAGGCCTATCTAGAGTGGAGGCAGATAGGCCTGTGCACTAGAACTCACAGAGTGGTGTAGTAAAGGCGAGTCATGGTATGTGCTATACCCAGTGGTTGCCCAGAGGTCAGACTTCCTCCTCTACCTGAGAGTTTGGGGAAAACGTCATAGAAGAGGTAATGATACTGAATCTAGAAGGATGAGTTAGAGGATTCCAGATGAACAAAGTGAGAAGCAGATGCTCCAGGCAGGAGGAATAGTGCATAAAAAGTTGTGAATACAGAGCATGAAGTAGTTGGGGGCCAGATCAGAAATATGTTTTATGCTGTGGCCAAGGAGCATGGGCATTATTCTGAGGGCAGTAGTGGTGTATGAGGACTTTGAATCTGTCCACACTTTTGAGAATGGATGGGGGAGAAGAAACTGCTGGTCCGGTTCAGCCAGGCCTCTTTGGCTGAGAGCCCAGTCAGTGCGGGCCAGTGGCTTTAGGTCCTTGACTATGGCTCTGGTTTCCCCACAGAAAAGACAACTGTCTTTTCTCTCTCTTGGCTGGCCTTTATCCTACATGGTGAGATGCAGAGGTGAGATGCTGAAGACTGGTAGCCAGAGAGGCTTCTCAGAGGTGAAAGGACTGCGTGTGCTGGTGTTTCTTGGTATTTTGGTTTTGCCAAGACAACAATGAAAGACAACACTGTCCATGATTTTCCATGGAGACCCAAAGAGCCACTCACTCAAATAAGATCTCACCTGCCACATTCTTGGTCTGGAGAGCCACTTGAGCTCAGGCCCTCCAGCCTAGAGACACCTCATGTGTGGCCCCTCCCCCTGGGTCTCCCCACTTTAGTCCCTGTGCATTGTACAGTGCCATTGAGAAGTTCAGAGCTCATTTGTGGACCTGGGGAAGGCCTTGTCCTGCCTTCCCTGAGAAGTAGTTGCTGTCCTTGCCCAAGGCAGGTACAGATGGCAGTTGTGCCCTGTTCTCCCTCACTGCCCCCTCTTGCTAATGGCCTCACGGGTAGATGCTGACCTTTGAGCTGCTTCTCTTCCAGTAACACATTGCACTGTTTCTAGAAACGTGGAGTATTTGGGCTCTGGAGCATCTTAGAGTGTTGTTTTGCTCACCTTTGTTGGAGCTTAAAGCTTAGGTCTACTGGGGCTGCTGAGGTGAAAGGTCTGGAGTCCACGTGGTATCCTGTTCCTGTACCGAGCTTGTCTGGGCTTCCCTGGGACCTTTTTGCTCAATGTGTGTCACCACCCAGGCTCCGACTGCAAGCTGACAGTGGGAGTATGGCTTCTTTATAACTGGGGACTTCCTTGGTCAAAGGTCAACCTCTAGAGAAATTACTAAACTTCACTTTGTACTCCCTTCTCCCCCCATCATTTTTTGTTTTCTGGAATGTTTGGTCTTTTCCTTAGATGGATCACCACATAAGGGAGACTCTCTGTTAGAAGGGATGTGGGAGCTCATTGGGCTGGAGCACAAGAGGATGGACTCGGCAGCTCTGCATGGCACAGTACAATGTGCCATCCTATTGTAGGATCATTGGGAAGGAATCAGGAGCCCCAGAGTGGTTCTCTGTGGTCAGGGGTCAAGTTAAAAAGAGACTGATCACTGAGAAAGAGATGAATAACACTGTGTCTAAAATCAAGGATGTCCCTCTGTCGCTCCAGAAATTCTGTTCAAAATTTACGTAAAATATCATTGTAGTTCCAGAATCTTCAGCTTTTTT